TATATATATATATATATATATATACATATATCGATATGTAAGTACACTATTATTGATGTGTCTGTGTTAGAGTTCGTTTTCCTATCGTATTAATTCCTGCGGCAATCCCTTGGCCAGAGAAAACAATTACAATTAATTATATCTCTCAATATTAGATGTTTATGATTTATTTTGCATCCAAAAGTTAGCATATGTAACTATTATAGATATTACTGGTTGTGCAATGCAATTAATACTGTATTAACACATAATAGCTCTATGGCATTTCTAAATACAAGATAAATTTAAATTCCAATTTTTTAACTTCTAAGAATATTATAATGATAATTTGATTAATTAATTTCGTTTTTATTAGGGAATTTTTTTTATGTAAAGTTTTGATGTTTCCGATGAAGAGGAAGCCTCAAAAGATCAGTTTGCACCAGGCTTCTTTGAATAAGCCGACACAATATTAATACAGTATTGTTAGCCAATTAGTGACAATTAATTTCAATTATCCATCGATCGTGATAACGCTCCGAAATTTCGACACAATTTATATTCATCGTACTGAATTGAAAATATCAGTCTCTCCCAGTTTAGAGTAATCTAGCAATTAATTTTATTAAGTTCATCCTAGGGTCAATTTTCGAAGTATTAGGATCATATTTAGACAAAATTTATATAATTAGAGGCAGAATTTTTTTAGGCTTCTGTTTTTTATATTAATAAAAAAATTATGTATTTTCTAATTTTTTCAAATTAAAACTCATCAAATTAGACTCGTTATTATTGATATTATCGTTTCTATCTTTATGCTTATCTCGAGATTTTCTAGACAGAAGTACCTGGCCTTAATTCATCCGAACATAAGCCTTGATACAACCTGTATTTACGAGCGTAAAGTATTCAGCCGATCGCGTGCGAGAGGCATCGATTGTGGCACGGCGCGACGTCGGGTTCCTCGCTGTAATGAGCTGGCAACGAGCCGGTACCGGTGAGGCTAATGACGTTTCGTTAAGATTCTATGCCGAGCTTTCTGTACGTCTCCCGATCCACCGTGACGAGACGTCCCTCAACGCTGGAACAATCAAGCTCGATGCAGTGCAATCTAGCACCCCACTCGCAGTGGCTCTGATCATCCAGCCGGTAGTATTTGATCTGCAGACAGGTAGTCAGGTAGCCGGAGCCGAGGACTCTCATGGCGATCGGCAGATCCTCCCGATGACCACGTGCACTCGCCGAGATATCTTTAGTGCTGTGATAAGCGCTGTAAGCGCACGCCGTTGCGTTCCTTGCGCGTTCAACCGCCTCCACCTGTTTGCCACCGATACTCAGGGATCTGAAAAAAAATCACAGAAATTAAAAAAAATACGTTCTGTGTATAGTTTCTCTTGAAAAATACGTCTGTAAAATATGTATTGGATTATATTGAGTTCGAATAAAAATTTATAACGCTACGCGCGCACTTCAAAATTCACGTAACTGTAACTTCATTAAAAGTAAACAAAATTTGAAAAAGGGTTTTAAAGCTTATAATCTCTATTTTTATAATAAAAGGTTACTTGTGTCTTCTGAATTTCTGTGAATTTGATCATTTTTACACGTAGAGAAAACTATATACGAACTGAATAAAATGGAAAATTTTCTTCTCAATTTTATGTCCTGTGCCCAAAAAAAGGACTTTGCATACTTATGGAAATGAGGTGCCGGTCAAATTAATTGAAATTTTGTTGGCTCATTGATTAAAAGTTTCAATGGTCACCAAGTCCAAATAATCAAGTGTCTATCATTATGTCACACTGCTTGACGATGGAGGTCAATTTTGGATATTTGAGCCGCCGTAACTCCAAAACTTTTGATTATTTGACCTGGTGATCATTGAGATTTTTGATGAATAAGTCAAAACCTATATCATTAAAATTTCAACCAAGGCTTCGTTTTCATAAGAAGTGCAGAATCCTTCGTGAAAATTGTCGACTTAGTCACATAAAAACTTAAAATTTTCCCTTCATAA